CACGGTCGGAAGATTAACGCAACCTATAAATCCTGACCTTGAATCCAAGGTTGACGCGCCAGCGTATCTATCAGGTTATATTTCAACAGGGAATAGTACTCAATCTGCGGCGGATCAGAGCGACGCAGCGTTTTGGGCTTGCGACGCTCGTGTTCATCTGTCTGGCTTGGCTGAAAAGGCTAAGCACTTGCTGATTCTATGGCGTTTCCTCGGATACGTGACCCTGGCCGATGCTGGGATCACTTTGGACGCACTAAAGACGCAGCTCCGATGTCACTGGCTGCGTGCAGCTGCAGTTCTTCGACCGTCACCAAGTTCGCGAAGTTCAGACCGATCGTCGCAATTAGAGGGCGTCATAAGCTCGCTCCTGCTCAGCCTTTGCAGAGGCACGCAAGCATTTCGAGTGCAGCAGACCGCCACGCGCGAGCAGGTCGTGGTCCAAGCAACTGCTCATCTTCTGCTCCGTGCTTTTTCGTCACGAGCCGTCCAGCACTCGATCCAATCGGCATTTTCGTTAGAAACGAGAGGTGTCGACAACCGACACGTTCGTGAGCGATTTATCGTATTGCTGTCGGATATCTATGAAATACTGGGCGATCTGTGCCGACTGAGTTCTCCTGACGTAGCTTCGGTATTCCCGAGAGGTCACATATCCCTGCCAGCGCTGGTGGATGAAGTGGTCTCGTTAATCCACACACAGAGGCAGTTCACCGGGCTTCGAAGTGAGATATCAGCGCTGTTAAGGGCGCAGCTAGGACCGATAGGGCATCTCTTTGGTTGTTTTACAGCCCAGATACAAGAGATTATATTTGCTGCACAAATAGGACCAGATCATCGCGTCCAAAATACAGGAGGCGGCGATGAGCCATGGCGCGCATGGAACCGCAGGTGGCTGCTAGAACCCGGCTCGATCCAAGTTATCAGCATCCCTCAAGGTCACAAAGTATACGTCAAACCATCGCTGGTGGAATTCTCGCGATGGGTCTTCGAGTTCGCCTGCATTGACCTGACAGTCGATGAGAGTGGCTCACGGTTGTCTGTATGCTCCGTGTTCCCGATGGTAAATGGGACTGCACCCACCGAGTTCTTCTTAGATGGTCGTCTGCGAACTTTCCGATCCACACCAAGCGGAATTTCATCGATATTGCTAACACCGGAGGGATGGTCGATTGGAGACTACGCCGCGAGGATGTCAGGCCACACAAACACCATTAATTTTGATTTTTACGCCCTTACAGATAGTGATTTAGACACAGGTTTCGCCGATCAAGGTCGTCGTACTGGGCAGCGTGAGACGAGCACCACTGTGTGCTGGGTCAGCGTGACATTCGCAGTGGAAGGCAATTTACAGGCTGGGAATCTGCCCGACGTACGCGATCATTTTATCTTCTTCCGCACAGTTGTCGCTCAGGCAACATACAACCCCGCGTCGTGGTCGAATTTAGGGGCGAAGCTCTCCGATATGTCTACTGTGAGCCGATCTCTTGTATTTCGAGAGTTGCCCTGGACAGCAGAGCTTGAGATTCAAGGAGGCTACGTCGCCGTCCCAGTCTGATCCACAACCAAAAAGTTCATCGTGACAAAATGCAATTAATCTTGATTTGTATTCACTTCACTCATCTTGACAAATGCTGTTGCGTACGTCCCCGCCTATCCATCCGATTAACCGTATCAGTTTTGGTATCTTGGTAGGTTGTCTCGTATAGATTAGGCTTTCAAGTACAGA